GTATTTATTTTCACTTTTAAATTTTTTCAATATTGTTTCTAGCCAAAAGTGGAAAAATGAGGTAAAAGCCTTTATGGATTCTTTCAGTAACATGTTAAACTTCTATGTACTCTGAAGATAGATCCTTTTATTGTTTTAGTGATATTTCCTTATTTTATGAATGAACAGGAAAAAAAAATGAACTGCTATCAAGAGGTAAAAGATTTGCTATGGTCTGAATATTTGTTTCACCCTAAATTCACATTTTGAGTCCCTAACCTCCAAGGTGATGGTATTAGACGGGCCTTTGGGTGGTGGTTAGGATGTGCAGGTGGAAAAGGCTTCAGGAACAAGATCTGTACAGCAGYGCTCTTATAAAAGCAGCCTCAGGCAGACCCCTGGTTCCTTCTGCCATGGAGGGCACAGCCAGAAGGTATCTAAGAGAAGGTGTCAGCAGACCCTGAATCTGCTGACAAATTGTTCTTGGACTTTCCAGCCTCCAGAACTGTGAATGTAAATTCCTGTTGTATAGAAGCTATGTGTCTATGGTGCTGATTATAGCAGACTGAACACTGTGAAACAAGGATCCTCCAACATGAACCCATCCTGGAGTTTACTCTTAATTTAACTTCCATGCAATAAACAATTGACTCTCTAGCTCCTAAGCTGGCTAATCCAGAGTTCCTTTAACTTATAAGCTTTATTTTATGTAAATATCTCAAATTACTGCTTTWTTATAAATGTTATAAAAAGTATCAGAATTGTGCCACAATTCAAATTACCGGGCATTTATTAATCATTTATATTTCAAATAATTCTTTAATATAAATTGATTGCTTAGTTTTAAATATTACAACTATTCAATATAAACAAACATAATGATGTTATAATTAAACATATTAAGCATAAAGTTAAGGCATAGGAAGATGACTTTTAAATGTGCAGTGCGGTACCAGTTGTTCTATTTTCATTAGTTGTCATGTATCTTGCCATGTCCTTTATCTGCTTGTGAATTTACAAGTAACACAGCAGGTTGTGAATTTTTAATAGGCTTTCCTCAAGGAAAGAAAAGGTCAGTATTAACATAAAATTCTTCTTAAAGATTTGTGGCACAAATGTTTCACACCAGAAAACAGGTGTTACTGAGAAACTAAAGCCATAATAATCTAATATTTTTTCCCTGTTTAAAGAAAACTTAGTCTCATATAATAAAATAGTACAAGACAAGTTCTTATAAAAGTCATTTCTCTGTAAGTAGATGCTATAAGTTTTTTAACACATGTTCCATTGATGCCTCTTCTCTGCAATAAAAATAAGTGATCTTATTCAATTAAATGTTTAACAAATTCAAGCACTGAGGCCTCACATCCAAATAAAAAAGGGAAGAATAATTACAGGGTTACAATTATAATAATTAATTATTGTCTGAACTTAGTGAATGAGGCAGAACAGGAAATAAACTGTATCACACATACACAGAATGACAGAAGGAAACAATGCCAGTGCACATGTGAATAGAGTATGCTCAGAAAAGATGATTGGAAAACTAAGAAGATATGTAAAAATAGAGGAGAAGGATTGCCCATTTGTCTCTTCCTGTATCTGCTAGGAAAGCATCAGCATTCAGTGTACCTGCAAGGAGTTGCCTTTAACAATCCATGGGTTTCATCTTTGAGAAGAGGCATTTTCTCCAATCTCCAGAGTATAGGAATTCATCTCTCTGACTCATTTAGTATAACWGATGTCAATTTTAGTTTTTTTCTTATACATTTCTCAATTTTTTAAAAACCCTTCTATCATTAAACAGAGGTTAATATCAWGACGGTAAATAAGGTCATTTTATAAGGTCATTTTAATCTTTGTTTTCTTTTTGTTTGTTTTTAGCTGTAAATGGACACAATGCATTTATTTTATTTATTTATTTTTAGGTGGTGCTGATGCTTGAACCCAGTACCTCACACATGACATGCTAGCCAAAAGCTCTACCACTGAGCTATGTGCTCAGTCCCAATATTTGTTTTTCTTTTTCTTTTCTTTGTTTCTTTTTTTTTTTTTAATTTCTTTGCTTTCTTTTTTTTTTTTTTTTTTTGCGGTACACTCTTCTAGTGATTTACATCCCCAGCCCTTTTTAATTTTTATTTTGAGACAGTGTCTGACTAAGTTGTTAAAGGTGGTCTCAAATTGCAAATCTTTCTGCCTTAACTTCCCTGGTAGCTGGGATTACAGCTGTGCATCACAACATCCAGTTTCATGTTTTACTCTTTTTTAAAAAAAAATTATTTATTACTCTTAACTAATATAATAGAGTTTACTTGTGTCCCTCTGTAAGCAAAGTTTTCTTTAAATACAAATTATCATTACTTCAATATCATATAGTTCAAAAAATTATTATGTCTATAGTTTCTTAACAATAAAACACAAATACATAGGGAAAATTAATGAGACGGTTACAATTATAACTATTTGCTTCTCTTAGTTATATTTCTGTTGTAGAAAGTAGACATCCTTCATTTTCAAATTTTTAATGTCACAGTCTGACTTACAATCCTCATCTCTTTGATTCCCTGCTACATGTACAATTTTCTAATCCAATGGAAACTCCCACAGTATGTGATCCAATTATAGGATCTAATTTTTACTCTCTGTAGTATAATATAAGTAAAGGTAAAAATCCTGCTGTGATTTATATTCTAAAATTCAGCATTATAGAAATTGATATCTCACCATATGAGCAGCTTTATAAATATGTTTAATTGATTAGAATAGTTGAACTGATTTTAATCAGTTTCGTATCTTGCTTTATATCCTTGACCAAAATCTATCTTCTATATTTATCCTCTTTTCTAAGATGTAAAATTTGTAAAATGGAAAAACTTTTCCCAGTTCAAATGTCTTCTCATTCTTTATTGGGTAGTTTGGGTGTGTATACTTAACAAATCCTCCATTATTCCTGTAGGCTAATTTGGTAGCTGTCCTGTGAATATCCATCCACACCTTGTTTGAATCTTTCATTGAACTAGAATGAAATTTTTKATTTCTTTTAGATGTACTTTCTGATAATAAACAAATATTTATCCATTTAAATTACTGAATGAATAAAAAAATCAGAACTCTCTACTGCAAACCATAAAGTTATCTGTTYAAATGATGGATATTGATATTATCAATACTCTTTTCTTGAATTATTTTGATTTCCAGGCAGAAAAGAAATGTGCAATGCCTAGATCTGCCATATGGAAAATTGCCACTGTGTGGTACATGCATATAATTGGAAAGTTTCCCAGCAAATATGTGCATTTTCATTTACTAAAAAGCATCAGTCTTGTGACTTTTTGAGAGTGGTTCCCTGGACAACACAATCATATGTTACTTCTGAGAGCTTTTCAGTTAAAAGTAGATATTTCCTGAGTTTTCCACACCTACTTTACTGTTTATGAATAGCTAAAAACGTATTTAAAATTTTGTTCTCTGATTTCTTTATCTTTGTCTCTACAGTGAATATGCCTTTTGGGTTTTCTGTCTTGCATTATATTTGTAATAATGAGTTATCAATCCTGAAATAAGAGAAATAAAAATATTTTTCAAGAGTTGATAGGTAAATACAAATTACTGATAATCATTAAAAATCAAACTACTTTTGTTGATAGTGATAATATTAGAAATTAAGAAAAATCTACAATTTATTAAATATTTCTTAAGGCAAATAATAAAAATTTGAACTGTAATATTTTGTTTCAAATAATAAAACTGTAATCCTAACATAAAAATGTTTACTGATTGAGTGCTACAACTGAAGAAAACCTTACAATCCTTGTGGTTTTCAAAGCCAAACTTCGTCCTTCCTATGGCCAACCTCCTCCCTTAAGGACACAAATCTAGTGGAAGGCAAGAGACACACTCACTAGAATCCATATCCTTTTTTATAATCCACAATGCATGAGGGACACATTACTACCTGCTCAAACATCCTTGGGCTTCCTTTARGTTCTATGGGTATCTCCTCTCCAGGTCTTCTTAAGACCAAATTCATTCACTGACACCTGTATCCATAAGTCTGAGGGCTGATCTTATGAGTGGGTATCTGGTGAAAAGCAGTATATACGGAACTTTTCCATGACATGCAGATTCCTGGGTTTGCATTTGTACTCACTGTGATGGCACTGGAATGGGATGTCCCTGTGGATGCATGCAAAGCTCTTTGATGTGATGAATTAATTTTGAAAAATTGAGTGTGCTTTTCTTTGGACATAGGCAAGGGAGCAAGAAAGAGACTTKCCCTGCATTGTCTTGTCATTTAAGGATTTTAAGAAGATAGATTTGATAAGGCAAGAGGCCAGAACATATTTTATTTTATAGTTTCCTATTTTTTTCAGTAATAAGGATCAAATAATTTTTAATTTGACTTCTATATATTGTGTGTTTTATGTAGATTTCTATCTGAACTTGTGCTATGARACCTACAAACATTTATGAGGTAGTCACTGTCTTTTGTTTGAACCAAAAATGATGTATATTTTTTCCTAAAGTATATACTATGCTTTTTCAGCTTTGTCTATCCTACAAATCCTAAAATATTTCTAATTCCCTGATAGAAATACAATGACTGATAATAAGTTTGTAGAAGGTGAAATTCCTGCAAAATATGAGATTTAAAGACTTTTCCATACAGCACAAGATTGAGAGAACTATGTTTACAACAACACATCAAGATTGATGGTTGCTGTCTCAATCAGATTTATTTGCCCATGAAAATGGTTATTTACCAAGTAAAGGGAAGAAGGGATTTGGTTCATTTTATTACTTTTTCCCATTTATAAAAAAAAAATGATACATAAAAGACTATTCCTGGTGCTTAAAGCATATAAATGAGTGTTATCAAACCTATTCAACTCTCATTTCCAGAAGTAAGATTACTGACCCCATTATTCTGTGATGGGATTTGAAGGACCTTCTTTGAATTCTTTCAGCATTATTCGTCTTTAAACTTTATCATGGATATGCTCATTTTTATTTCCCATAGCTTCATTCAGACCAAGATAAAGGAGATGGATCACTCAAATATATTTTATCTGGAGATGGAGCTGGAACTCTTTTTATTATTGATGAAAAAACAGGTGATATTCATGCCACAAGAAGAATTGATAGGGAGGAAAAGGCCTTTTACACTCTACGTGCGCAAGCAATTAACAGAAGAACTCTGCGGCCAGTGGAGCCAGAATCTGAATTTGTGATAAAAATCCATGACATCAATGACAATGAACCAACATTTCCAGAAGAAATTTACACAGCTAGTGTTCCTGAAATGTCTGTTGTAGGTAAGTTCATTTACAGCATTATGAAGATATTCAAAACATGAAAAATTTCAAGAAATACTTAAAATATTAGGATAAATTAACTGAAAACATTTTTATATTCCTTATCAAGACTACATGTTTAACATTATTTCAGTTAGGAAATAAGGAAAAAAGAAATTAATGCATTTCACAGTGCTTGTGAATTTGTAAATCTTTAATATAATATATATATATATATATATATATATATATATATGAGATCTTCTTTTAAAAATTAATTAAAAATTGGCTTTCAATAGAAAAATGTGAAAATATTAATTTTTTGTCACATGGATTTGTATAACAGCTGTGTAAAATTCTGTCCTAGGATATAATTATAGTCATCTCTTTCTTTCCACAAAGGCTGCTTCAGGGCTGCCCACAGATACTGAAATTCTTGGATGCTCAATTTCCTCATATAAAATGGCACAGTATTTGCATACAATGAATGCCCATCCACACATGTATTTTAAATAATTTCTAGATTATTTATAATACCTACTGCAATGAAAATGCTATAGAAATAGTAGCTATACTACATTGGATAGAGACTATTACAGGAAAAACTTCTACTCATATTCAGTAGATGTACATTTTTTAAAAATATTTTTGAACCCAGGAAAATTGAGTCCTAAAATAAAGAACCTGCAGGTATAGGTGGCCAATGATTTTAAGAATACTATTGCCTGGTGCAGTGGTTCACACATGTAAAGCCAGTCACTGGAGAGGTGGAGGCAAGAGGATTCTAATCCTGAGGCCAGCCTGGGTAGCTTACTGAAAAGCTGTCTCAGAATAAATAAAAAGATTGGGGTTTATGGCACAGTGGAGGACCATTTGGCTAGCATTCACAAGGCCTTGGGTTTAATTCCAGTACCACATACACACAAGAAAAATATTACTACTAATGCAATATAGAATTTTAGCTATGTATATTAGTCATGAATTACCAAAAGAGTTTATTTAGCTTATCTATATATACCAAGTGATGGAATTCAATTACTGATTTATTTCTTACTATGTATCAAGATATTCATTTATTATAACACATATATGTATACATACACATACATATATGTATTTGTATATATAAAATATACATGTATATAAAAATATACAATATATTTAAAACTGCTGATATGAATCTCAAATTGAAATAAACCCCCWCTTGAAAACACACAATTAATCATTTGCTGGTAGAGGATTACAAGGTTGAATTTTGAAACTTATAAAACAGAAGTCATGAAAAGGGTAATATTCAAGAAAGTGGATTTTACTTTTTCAATTAAAATAAAAATAAATATATTTGTAGAAGAATAATGCTAATATTGTCATTTTTAATTAGATAGAGGATGACAAAGAATTAAATGCACCGCAAAATTCAGATAATATTTTTAGAGAGACACACATTTGAATTTAATACAAATACACACTTTTCAAATGTATGTGCATTTTTTAAACTGATGTGACTGCTATGATGATTTTTTTTTTACATGTAACAATCTAAATAGTAAAGTTTTAAACTACAATTCTCAAAAGATTTGGTCTGGATTGTTATTTAATGTTTACTTACTAAATTACAAGGGCTTGGGACAATCACCTAACTCTAAAGCCCTTATAAATATCATGAACTTTATTAGAATTTAGTAGTTCATGAAAATTAGGATCATCTTAGATTGTTTCTAAGTTTAGAATTTAATATATTCATAAAGATGTATTCTAGATCAGATGTTAATTATTTTTAGAGTTAATTAGTGCAGGGGTGAGGAAGAGAACAGACTTATTCCTTTGTGCTTAGATATGCCCTTTACAAAAAAACAAATCTATTATATGAAAATAAATTTAAATATCAAAACGGAGAATTTGAAAAATGATCATATTTGTTAACATTTGAAAAACTGCAGCATTATCTATTTCATACATAAAAATACTATTGATTAAATATAGATTATGAAGTTGAACTTAAAGTTGAACTGCAATAACACCATATAAATATAAAAATCATATATTTATATTTTATCACCTTACTATAAAGCCCTTATAAATATGAACTTTATTTTAGTAGTTCATGAAATACACACACACACATACACATATATTTGATTTTCATCCCAATTATATGTAAAAGTTTCATTAAGAGGTCATTATTAAAGACAAACGTCAATGAAGTCTTCAATGAAAACGAGTGCTTTTGCTCCTCCTTCTGGTACTGTGCAGAACTAAGCTGAATTTGGATACTTCAGGTACTTCTGTGGTGCAAGTCACAGCTACAGATGCCGATGACCCTTCCTATGGGAACAGCGCCAGAGTCATTTACAGCATACTTCAAGGGCAGCCCTATTTCTCTGTGGAGCCGGAAACAGGTCAGGAATAATGAATTGGTGTTCGTTCATTTAACCATCTTTGTGATCTTTATTAGTACAGAGAGGGGAGAATGAAAACAAAGCATTAATACTCAGGAAAGTCTGAGGATGCCTCAATTAAAGATGACAAAACTCAATGTTAAAATATTAAATGTGCTAATGGAAATGTAATTGTTTTGGTGTTTTTACACATGSATTCAGATGACTCTAGAATACACAGGGTACTGCTAGAAAATATTTATATGGAATTATTTTTACAATTAATAGAAATCAATATCAAAAGAATATCTTCTAAAAATTCACTAGTCTAAAAATACTACTTGTGAGCTGAATCAAATAATAACTGAAAATCCTATTAGAATARTGAAAGTATTTGTACTTTCTTCAAGGTATCATCAGAACTGCTTTACCAAATATGAACAGAGAAAACAGAGAACAATACCAGGTGGTCATCCAAGCCAAAGACATGGGTGGCCAGATGGGAGGTTTGTCTGGGACCACCACAGTGAACATCACACTGACAGACGTCAATGACAATCCACCTCGCTTCCCACAGAGTAAGTGGCCTTTAATGGTCATTTATGTTCATTCTGCAGAAAGTTTTAGAATTTTTTTTAAAGTTTTAGAAAAATAAAAAAATAGAGTTAAAAGAAGAAATAAAAAAGGAACTATCAATTTTATTTGAAACACTTGAAATTGTCCTATACAAATGAACTACAACTATATGTTGATGAGTTCACTGTTATTCAAAATAAAATGAAATATTTCAGGCATATTTYATAATGAGTCTCAGTGGACTCACCTAAGACCAAATCAATTTTTTTCTATTCTAAAAGAGCCTGTACTTCAAGATGGAATTTAATGTTGTTAGAAATGAGACATAAAAATCAAATTCTAGTGATAATCTAATTTCTCATCATTTGCTGAATATTTACTTCTAAATGTATCTCCAATTTCAGTTAGTGTTTTGGTTTAAATATTTTCCTAATAAAATAKTAAAATATAAAACGCAATGGCTTTTTTCTGATATTTGTATCTTTGAAGACTATTACTCAGAATGAATGATAGTGTAAGAATTCACTGTGTTTTTTTTTTTTTTTGCTATTTATTTATTTACTTTTGTAGTTCTAGATGGACAGCATGCCTTTATTTTATTTATTCTGAGCTACAGCCCCAGCACTGTTTGATGATTTGAAAGCATTTTATTCTTTTCTTTGTTTTTTTAATCAAAATGTGATTATTAGTAGTGTATTTTTTGAATTATATTGCCTACAATTACTTATGTGAAGGAATGTTAAGTTCAGATAGAACCTTCTTCAGAAGACCAATTGTCTGCCTCTGTACCATGGCGACTGCTTGCTGGGTGTTTGATGCAAGTGCCCATCACATATAAGGTTGAGCCCAGAACAATGAGGAAGGCATCCATGTACTCTATTTTCAAGAAATCAGGTTTCATCTCCACATTATCTTTGTCAATTTACAAGAAAAAGCAAACTGATAATAAATACACATAATTCCATAAAACAGGTTTAAAGATATAAACAATTTAAAAGAAATTTCATAACAGGAAAAAAAAAAGAACACTGTAAATATACAAGATCATTAAGATGGAGAAAGAAGGACTGAGGGAGGGAGGAGGGGATGGTGAGTAAGGTATTGGGGAGTGAAAYTGATCATATTTTGTTTGAAAGTATGTATGAACATACCATATTAAAACCCACCATTCTGTATAATTAATATGCACCAATTAAAAAATAAATAAAACAAATTTTAGATTACAAATGTATTCCTGGCCACCTCTTATCTTGAGCCTTTTACCAGGAGAATGAACATGCAAATTGAAGAGAATAAGCCATAACTAATTAATTTCATAATGTACAATGAGCAAAGTATTTTGGAAAAAAATGTATTTTATCAGTAGTTAATAATCATTTGGATTAGTACTATATTCTTAAATTCTCAGTAGTCTAAAATGCAGTCCATTCACTAATGGCACATTTGATAAGCAAATATACAGATTCTAATTAAATGAAGAAAATTAGACATTTTATAGGCAGTAATGATCAATGAAAATACACTTGATTATGTTTTCAATTGCTGTGAGTCCTTTATTCATTCATTTAATAAATATTTCCTTTTATTTTATTAACTTGAAATTTTTGATTGCCATCTCTTAGGCACAATATATAAACCCTGCTGTAGTAATAGTGGCAATAATAATCATTAAGATGCTAATAATAATGAAAGGAAAAAACTGCAATAATTTTTGCATTTTCTAAATGGCATTTTTATAGGACACTGTGCCATATTATTTATTGACCTACCTTATTTAATCAGAACAACTCATTCAGATCAGTGTTATGATCTCAATTATATAAATGAGAAGAAAATGAGTGGTTAAAGATGTTAAGGCCAAAGTGATAGTTATGACAGAGATATGTTGACATCAATGTTCAATTCTAAATGTGAAGCACAATATATTTAAAGGGATTTTAGCACATCCTGCTTCCTGACTCATTATTTTAAAATATGGATGGAAACATAATTTAGTGATTTTTATTCGCTAAATTATCTTTTATATTACAAACATTTGCAACTGTATCTGACTGTTGGGAACACTCAGTCATGGCAATTAGAATGTCATTTGATAGCCTAAATCATCTAACATTCAAGAAACTTGATTTTAATTTCTAATATCATTTTATTAGATACACAAAGTTAGTTCTGTTTATGTAATCTTTCATGTGTAATGTATCATAGAAATCTCATACTAACTTTGAAACTAAGAGTGGGTATAATAAAGAGAGAAAAGCAATGCTGTCTACTAACAATATAATGTAAATTTAGAATGTTTGCTACATGTGTAAATGTAAATTTTCTATCAGCCATGTTAAAAAAATAAGGGAGACAGGAGGAATTTATTTTAATTATATATATGTATTTTTTTAAATTTATTTTTGGTGTGTATGGACACAAACAATGCATTTTATTTGTATGTGGTGCTGAGGATCAAACCCGGGTCCCACCTGTGCTAGGTAAGCGTTCTCCTGCTGAGCCACAATCCCAGCCCTAGTTATATATTTTTTAACCCAATATTGTCCTTTATATACGTCATCAGTATAGGACACAGTTAGATAGTTTTCCATTCTTTTTCCCCTCCAAGTCTTCTACTTGGGTCAAATATATTCCACTGTCATCAAATTTTAATTCAGATGAACTGCATTTTCAATGCATAGCACAAGAGTTTGAGTGATTTGATTGTAACCTGCCATATTTGCAGTTCAGGAGCAGACCCTGTGATCAACCTGCATGAGACTCAGTGATCTCGTACTTCTAGGAGCATTTTCACCTTGATGAACTAAACTGCACTTTCTATTTTCCAGTGTCATTAGTTACACTGGACACTAGTATATACTTTGTGGCCTGATGTAAGACTAAATAAATAACTGAGGCATTGACTCAMTGTCTAGCACTTAGTTTATTTATTTAGTGTCCAATAATGTTGATCTGTGCAAGTGCTGCTCTTTTAGCATCTTCATCTTTAAATATTATAAAAGTAGAGTCAAAACTTAAGCTTTCAATAAAGTTGAATCATCCAAATTTAATATTTGTCAATATGCTGCATAAATACTTYTGTCATTTGGAAGGGACAGGGACCCATGCAAGCTAAGATATCCTGACTCATTTGTTTGTTTATTTTATAGTGTGAATTTATAACAGTGGTTCTCAGTTTAGGGCAATTTTGCCTGCAAGATGTCAATTGTCAATATCTTGACAATTTTTTTTGTGTGTGTTACCTGGTGGGTCCTACTGACATCTAGTGGATGGATGCTGGGGAGGCTGCTAAGAATCCTTATAATACAAAAGACAATTATTTAAGCCAAAATATCAATAATATCTAGGTTGACATTTTAAAATATGTTAAATGAATAACAATTAATTCATGTGACTCAAAATTTTTTTCTAAGGTTGCCTCAATAAGTTTAAAAACTGAAAGTGCATAAAATTAGGCAATTTGCTTTTCCTGAACCTCAATCCCTGTATATAAATCACTTGTTACTCATAATAATGTTGCAAATAATCAATAAGKTCAGATAAATAAAATGGCTTCAGTAATTCTCATAGCATATAATAGTATTTCAATACATGGATTTCCTCTTGAGAAGGAAAAGGGTAAATATCAAGGATTATATCTCAGTTTTCAAATTTTAGTGTTTTTCTTGTTCTGATGCCAAGCTGCCATTTATTTATGGCCAAATATTAAATAAAAACACCTCAAACCTGGAAAGATATATAATCATTAGTTTCACAATAAAGTAAATGTGCTTGTCTCATAAATAACTGCTTAACACTATCTTTAATGAGGACTACAGGGCAAATTAGTCAAATATTCAATGTTCCATGAGATTTGCTATTTCATTTTGCAAAAGTTAGAAAGATATTATATGTTCATACCTTAAATATATCTGTAATGCATCCCCATTTGAATATTTTAGGCCTACCATCCCATTTTGTTCACTTCCTATATGAATTTCCTAAAATCATAATAAAGCCAAATAGGCTTTATGGAAATAATCTAAGGAAATATTAAATTACTGTAACTAGATCATTGTATTTTGGCAAAAGCAACTGGACACCAGGATTTTTTTCAAAATTACATTTCATTTATTTATTTTTAATAAAAACATCCCTGGGAAAATAATTCAATTTTGAGTCGAGAGTCATTCATTGTGTGAGGGGTATCTCATCTATAGTGAGCATGCTAGGCCCAGCATCCTTACTTAAATGTTGTAGAGAACAGCTGCAGGACTCTACTCTCAATTTCTTTCTAGCAAAACAAAACAAAAACACCAGAAAGGAAGCCCCTCTTCTAGAGAAAAAGAGTTTGCAAAAGCAGTTAAACCGGTGGTCAGGTTTTCATTCACCTAGTTAGTGTCTAAGATTTGGCTCCAGTTTTTGGAGGAACTGCAAGTGTCAAGATAGCAATATGACTCAAGAGACAAGATTTGGTATATAAGACTAGCATCTGAGACTCAGGTAAAACATACAGACCTGACCCACAAATGGATGCAAACCCTTGCAAAATTTTCAGAGGCTACAGCTATTTACACAACACTGAAACAAAATACAAAGGGAACAGATTACTTTACATTCTGGCTAAGGATGTGTCTGCTGCCCTAGCATTTACTCACAGAACTTTTTTCGTACAACTTAGGTTGAGAAATCACAAACCAATAGCAAGTAAATTTATGTAATGTCAGGTTAGCTGAGATTTTATGAAGGGGAAAACTTTTAAATTATAAACCAAAGATCATGCAATGAATGAGAAACCCTCATTTGTGGTATATTAGATATATGTCAAATTAATATGATATATTATATATTATTAATATGTATATATTATATATATATATAAGATACATGTCAAATTAATGAGAATCTGATATGGTATTTATTATATAGCATCCAGATCTATCCAAAGTGTACTCAGAATAGTGAATTTATTACTGTATGTTATATTTTTTCCCATGAACTATTGAGAATAGTAACAAAAATC